CGTACGTACCTGGACCCGCCTACTACGCTTACAAAGGTAAAATGATTGGCTAGAATCCAATGTGTATCACGTCTCAGGGGGAAAAAAAGCACCAAAATAAAGCACTGAAATGTGCGCTGCTTTTCGGTCTGGTTACTACCGTTTATGTCAGAACCAGTGCGATACCGGTACCCATCCCTAATCATTATTGGCCTTTAACTGGAGTGCAACATTTAGTATCACCTAATTGATACTTTATTGCGATGGAATGAGACAAACCCTTGAATGGGACCGATATTACCCGCTGTCTCCTCAGAGTATAGAGGATAAATACTGAACTTCTGCTGGTTGAAATTGAACCAAAAGCACGTTTCCTCTTCCAGGCACTCAGAGAGGGGAAACGCTGTGTAACCGCCCACTGGCTCAACACTGTGCTGAAGAAGAAGAGGATGGTTCCTCCTCACCGGACGTTACATGTGCCATTTGCCTTCCCTCCTGGAGCCAAACCCTGTTCTCAGCACGTACGTCTGCCGTTTCTTTTAACAGTAGTTTTTCTACAGTCTTTGTACTTGGTGAACTTAATGAACTTCAAAATACTGCACTCCAATTGGCAGGAAGCATTTCTGCTTGTCAGATCTTTACTCCAGCTCTCTGTTGCTGTCTTTCCTCAGATCATATCAGTGACGGGTTTTATGGATGCTGACAGAGATGATCTAAAACTGATGGCCTACCTGGCTGGTGCCAGATACACCGGATATCTTTGTCGCAGTAACACTGTCCTCATTTGCAAAGAGTAAGAGTTGGGGTCGGGTAGATGAGTTCCTCTTTGGGTATTCTTTTGTACTGCACGCAGTATATCCATAGAACTCAAACTATACAAGAACTATCTTACTTTTGGTTTTATGTCGTTCTTGGAGTGTACTCCTCCTCATTTGTATGTGTGAAGGACTCAGCCTATCTTCAAGCTTCTCTTTATCCTAAGTGTTAACCTTTTTTAGTCAGATCAGATGCTTTGTTTTGTTAATCCAGCATTTTCACTCTTTTATTTCCCAACTTTGTTGCAACTTGTTTGAAATGTCTCATTTTCTTTTAAACATTTTTCAGTTGAACCTTCTTGTGTGAAGGTTGAACGTTCAGTGTGCTTGAGAACCTTCACTTCTCAAGCACACTGTCAGTTTTATGGTTGTCTTGCTAATATCACTTTAGACCCAGTGGGCTTAAATATGAGAAGGCCAAGGAGTGGAAGATCCCTTGTGTGAATGCCCAGTGGCTGTGTGATATACTGCTGGGCAACTTTGAAGCACTGAGACAAATCCAGCACAGCCGATACTCCATCTACACACATCCTGAACCACTGGTGCCTAACCCACAGCTGGTCCAGAACCTGCTTGGTATGTACGCCGTCACTGGAGTTGTTACGTAGTGAGCAATTACATGAAGATATTACCCAATATCTCTTACTTGCCACACACTCTCTCCTGTGGGGTATGCTTAGTTAGTCTAACCTGACTGGAGCCACACAGAGCTCTGGTTTTGTGTGGCTTGATTTTGGTTCGTCAGGAGAGTGAAGAGCCTTTGATGTTTTATCACTTGGAATGGCCACACTTTAAGATACTGTCCTGATTACCTTGTGCATTTCTCTGTAGCCGCTTGGAGAACACCAATCAAAGTCTCTTCTGAAGCTTTGGCGGTGAGTTTTTGTGTCACAGTGTTCTTCACATTCTTTTGTTTGGAATGTCGAGAAGCTCCGTAACCCCTCTCTCAGCCTGCTCTGAATCCTCTGCTCCAGACAGTTTTCCAACTCTTGGATTGACATAACGTCACACATTTCTAGCTTTAACCACAACACCTCACACACCTCTTCAGTTGTTGGGGGCAGTTATTCACAGGAAAATATCTGTGTGAGAGTGATTTGTTTTTTAGTGCGTTTGTCCTTAAAAAGTTGAATCAGTCATAGAAGAGAGAGAAGCAACAGAGGAACAGTGTACCGGCTCGTCTGATTGTGCTTTTGTGGCGTCTGTTTGGTGTTTAGAGCCTCCAGCTGCTGCAGAAGCAGAAGATCAGCGACTCAGCAAACCCACCTGCAAACAAGAAGGCCAGGTCGGTATAGCAGGTTAGGGACTAGCCTGTCACTCCTCTGCACGAGAACAGAGTTGGACCACACACCCTCCAGACTGCCATGTTCTAATGATACTTTGCATTTCTGTCTCTGAAGACTGGAAGAGATCCAGTCCCCGAGTAAGAAGCTTCCTCCAGAGTCCACTCCTCGGGTCATGTTCACAGGCTTTGAGCCTATGCAAGTACAGCAGTACACCAAGGTGAAAGCAGCCTTCCCACGCTCAAACATTCAGTGTGTTGTTAGACTGAAGCTCAGATTAGTGAGAACGCTGAAGTTACTCTCAAAGCACATCTGCAGCCTCAGCTGCTATTTGAATGTGTCCCCTTTCCTCCTGCAGAGGTTACATGCTTTAGGTGGTGAGCTTGCAGACAGCAGTCAGAAAGTCACTCACCTTGTGGCCAGTAAGGTGACTCGCACCGTCAAGTTCCTCACTGCCATGTCTGTGGTCAAACACATAGTCACCCCAGAGTGGCTGGAGGAAAGCTGGAGGAGTCAGAAGTTTGTGGGTATGTTTGCGTCCCACCCCTCCTTTTTCTTATCTAACTGTGTTTTGTAGAGATCAAAGTGGAACTGAAATTGGTCTTGTGCTGCGCTTTTACCTGTATATGTTTCGTTAACGGGAGCAAACCTGTTGTGTGTGTGTTACAGACGAGCAGAGTTGCACTCTGAGGGACGCAGAAGCGGAGGTGTTGTTTGGCTTCAGCCTGGAGGAGTCGCTAAAGAGAGCCCAAAGTGCACCTCTCTTTAAGGTCCTCTGACAACATAACTGCTGTGTTCAACCAAAAACCGTCTTTTTCTTGATGCCAGTTAAAGAATTCAGAAGTAGGGCTGTGCCATGTGACCAAAATCATATCCTGATAACAATATATGTTCTGGGAACCCGACTTGTGTGAAGTGTTTTCAGCTGGGCGTCCTGTACCTGGAGTCAAGTGTTTTAACCGATGCATGAAACTATATTTTTAGATATAAGTTGTAACGGCCGCTGTTTTCTTTGTATTTATTACACGCCGCGCTGCGGGGAAAAGCGTTTGAGTCTAAGGTTTATTTTGAGCACCTGACGGCTCTTTTTTTTTTTATTGCTTCTCAACTCTCTCCATCCTCTTTCACGTGATTCTTGCATTAGAAGAGGTTTGTTGTGTTTGAGTCTGAGGTGGACCGGTTTGCAGCATAATTTGCATAGTACAGTTTTCTGGTCCGTGTCAGAGTTTGTATAACCAAACCATGTCCATGCTACAGCCCCTCGTTTAGGAATAAGGTCCTTGATTTGTTTTGACTGGTCTGTTTGGAGCCAGTTGTTCCTGCCTCCTCTTCACTGGCCATGCTGGGATTCTCTGTGCCCCGATGAACAAATATTGCTGTAAACAGTGTGTTTTGCAACACCATGAAACAAAC